TAAGAACAAGTTAATTGGTTGTGGCTTACAGATTTGAATCTGGCATATCCGAAGGTGATGGACATGGCAGTTCCTGCGAACTTGGTGTGTGGGCTGCAACATCCAGCTTCTTCTTGATTCTGTGAGCTCTGATTCTTTGTACTTACTAAAAACAAGAATTATAATCCAAATAAAAATAAGAAATGTGGATGAAAATCTAATCTACAGGCCAAAAGGTTGGAATTCCATACACAAAATAAAATTACAAAATGATTTGCCTATTCGGTACACATTTTGTCTTCTTTAGACTTTTCTTGAGATATTGTCTCTTTGAGCTTCTCGGGAGAAATTGCTTCCCCTCAAGGATTTTGAGTTTTCCCTTATGGGCTTTCTCATTACGCGTCTGCTAGAAAAAGGTTTCCACATCATTATAAAAAGGTGTTTCGTTCTCCTCCCAACCAATGCGGGATATCACAATTCACCCCTCTTCAGGGTCTAGCGTCTTCATTGGCACTCGTTCCTTTCTCTAATTGATGTGAGACCACCAAATCCCTCCCCTTCGGGGTCCAACGTCCTTACTTGCACACTGTCTCGTGTCTACTTCTTTTGGGGAACAAGCTCCTCGCTGGCACACCGCCCGACGCTTTGCTTTGATACCAGTTAGGACGGAGTTTTTTGAGTTTTTTTTTTTTTTTTAATATTATTTATTTCCAATAATTTTTTAAATGATATTTTCTATTTTAAAAAATATAAAATATTATAATAAATTTAATAATATTTCATAAAAAAATATAATATGTATTTAACAAAAAGTCTCAAATTTTTAATCATAAAATTAAAAAGAAAAAAGTATTAAATAAATATATAATAAATTAGTTTTGGTACGAATTTATGGGTGAGAATCTCTCCGGCTTCCTGAAATATATTAGTAATAATAATAATAATAATAATAAAAATAATAAATCCTTATCCACGGTGTAGGAACCAAATTGTAAAACTTGATTATATCATTCCCTTTCTCCATCTTCCAGTGGCTCTGCAACTCGAAATGAGCATATGACGAAATGAGCATGACGATGGGCGGTGCGATTACAATAATTATTGTGGCAGGTTCTCTTCTGGTATGGGGATGGAGCTTCCTCAACTGGATTTGGCTGAAACCGAAGAAGCTCGAGAAGCAGTTAAGGGAGCAGGGCCTTGCCGGGAATCCCTATCGCCTTCTCTTTGGCGATTCCAAGGACATGGCGACCGCGATTCGCGAAGCCAGATCGCAGTCCATGAACTTCTCTCATCATATCGCTCATCGCGCCCTCCCTTCCTCGCACCTCACCATCAATAAATACGGTAACCTCTTCCGTTTTTGTCCATTTTGTATTGCCCTACCTGGATTCGGGTGGTCGCATGCCCCATTCTTTTGGGATAATTTTTATTTTTTTAAATTGAATTATTTGAGTTTTTAGTTATATTCCATCAACTCAAATTTTGGCTGTTATTAAACCTCATGTTCATCATGGGTATCATCTATGTGTATACTTGGTTTGGTTGGCTTGCTTGCTTGCTTGTATTCTTAACGCACTTATATTTGTAGGTAAGAATTGTTTCGCGTGGGTTGGACCAACTCCAAGAGTGTATATAACACACCCCGAACAACTTAAGACTGTCTTTTCTCTTATCAATGACATTCCTAAAGCCCCTTTATTTCCTCCTGCAAGAACCCCCGGAAGTGGCGGACTTGTCTCTCTCGAGGGATCTAAATGGGCTAAACATAGAAAGATCATCAATCCCGCCTTTCATACCGAGAAGTTAAAGGTCTACTACACCTCTCAATCCCTCTTTTTTTCAAGTAGTTGTCTTGTGAGATTAGTTAAGATAGCTAGCTTAAGTCTAATATGACGGTGTTTGCAGGACATGTTTCCAGCGTTCTTTGAGAGTTGTAATGAGATGATTAAGAAATGGGAAGTGATGGTCTCTGAGGAAGAAGAAGGGCGTTTCGAGTTAGATGTTTGGCCTGATTTGCAGAATATGACTGCAGATTCGATATCTCGAACAGCATTTGGGAGTAGCTATGAGGAAGGAAAGAAGATCTTCCAGTTCTTGAAAACCTGGGTTTCTTTATTGGTAGCACGCCTAACAAAGGGAGTCTACAACATTCCTGGGTGGAGGTAAGATTTGAATGAAAGTTTGGATTTAAATTTGATAGTTTGTGTGTGTTCTTAATTAGTTCTTCATTTACTTTAGGTTTGTACCAACCCAGATGAACAGAAAGATGGAGGAGGTTAATAGAGAAATAAAAAGTATGGTTTGGGGGATTATAAGCAAGAGACAGACGGCTATGGAGGCTGCTCAAGTTTCTAATAATGCTGATCTTCTTGGGATACTTTTGGAAGAAAATAAGAAAGATGCTGTTGGAATGTCTATGGAGGATATCATTAGTGAGTGCAAGCTTTTTTATTTTGCTGGCCAAGAAACAACGGCCTCATTGCTTGTTTGGACGATGGTTCTACTTGGTCGGTATTCGGAATGGCAAGATCAAGCAAGAGCGGAAGTGCTTGATGTTTTTGGTGAAGACAAGAAAGTGGATTTCGATGGTTTAAATCGTCTCAAAGTAGTAAGTAGCTATGATTAATAGCATTTTCTTTTAGTTCAACAACATAACATGATCTCTAGCACGCACTTTTATAAGTCATCTCAAAGTAGCAAGTAGCTATGGTTTAAGTCATCTCAAGGCCAAGGAATCATTTTTTAAATAAGGGTGTGAAAACTGCTCCCCTAGCATTTTAAAGCCTTGGGGTAAACCCAAAACTGCTCCCATAGCATTTTAAAGCCTTGGGGTAAACCCGAAACCACTCCCCTAGCATCTTAAAGCCTTGGGGGGAAGCCCGAAACCTCTCCCTAGCGTCTTAAAGCCCTGGGGGGAAGCCCAAAACCTCTCCCTAGCGTCTTAAAGCCCTTGAGGGAAGCCCAAAACCTCTCCCTAGCGTCTTAAAGCCCCGAGGGGAAGCCCAAAACCTCTCCCTAACATCTCAAGGCCATGAGGGGAGTCCAAAACAGAAAAACAAAAGAGAGCAATCACTTTGAAGTAGTTTGGATCGGGTATGTTTTGATTACTTCCTGATTTACTTGAACATGTTGATGTTTGGAACAGGTGAGTATGATACTATATGAAGTTCTCAGGCTATATCCTCCCGTTGGAATCTTAGCTCGAGGAATACACAAGGAAACAAAGCTTGGAAACTTGTTATTGCCGGGTGGGGTGTCAATAGGCATACCAATCATTCATATTCACCACGATCACCAAATATGGGGTGAAGATGCAGATGAGTTCAAGCCAGAGAGATTTTCAGAAGGAATTTCCAAAGCAACAAACAATAAAGTTTGCTTCCTACCGTTTGGATGGGGTCCTCGAATTTGTGTTGGTCAAAACTTCGCCATGATTGAAGCAAAAATAGCATTAACAATGATTTTGCAGCACTTCTCCTTCCAACTTTCCCCATCTTATACTCACGCTCCTGCTTCAAATGTCACTGTTCAACCACAACATGGAGCTCATCTCATCCTCCGTAAGCTCTAATAGTTTCAAAGTTCATAAATTATGAACTTTTGTGTTGTACAAGTGTTGTCTAATATAAATAACTCAATCGTTCAGACATTATAATATACTTTGATTTAACAAAAATAAAGTGTGTTCATAACATGAAATTTAATACTTGCATATTAAAAACATAATACAGAATTAAACGAACAAAAAGTTTAAAAAACAACGCTCAAATTTTGAAAAGCATTAAACCCAGATCAAGCTCATACATTGAACAAACATGCAAGACTGATCCGACCAAGTTCAATCCATAATCTTAACCTGCAATTAATATGTACTCATTTTCTCAATCTACAGAATCGAATCATAGTGATAGAACCAAACGGATATCCAACAGCTACAAACAATTTCGTTCAAACAATGAGATCCAACTTTTCCGCAAAAGATAAACCCTAGCGGCCTAGGGAATATGTCGACGTTTGTCGACGAAGATCTCTACCTATCTCCTAAGAACAGATTGATTCAATCACAAACTTCAACATTCAAACCTAATCGAAGCAAACCAAAAATCCATGCGCATTTTGGAGAGAAAAAATTTAGGGCAGATTCCTGAATGTGAGCATGAATGAGATTAACATGCAAAACCTTGAGGCTGCCGCAAAGAAAATATCGGCCGGGTGAAATTGAGCTCTCGAGTATTCGATTTAACGTACGAGAACCCATTGGATCGGCCTTGAAGAAAACGATATTAAAAAAAGATTAAACAACGAATGTAAAAACCTTTCATCTTCGAAACTGCAAACTGCTTGACGAGAATCAAACTTCCAGATCGAAAATTAGAGAAAGGAATCGATTTGTTCTATGCCCGCAACGGAACAACAGCACCATCTTTTTACAGATGCTGTGTTCTCTCAGTGGCAATGCCTCAAACCCTAGACCACCTTCAGATTAAATAGGCGAATACTAAAGAAAAATTACGCTTTTACCCTTCGCTTAAGGTTTTTCTTCTTTTGCTCGAGTCCCCGATGCTTCTAATTATGAGTGAATACTTCGGTTAAAATTACGCTTTTACCCTTTCAAGGTTTCTTCTCTTTCACTCCATTATAAAAATATTCTAAACTTTGTATCTACTAATTTTTTAGAGCATGGCTCTGATATCATGTTAGATGAATACGACTCTCTACGATGTAAACTCTCATGGCTTTGTCTCAGGCTCCCTAAAGGGTCTCATTCTAATAGAGTATTCATTTATTATAAACTCATGATCATTCACTCTCATTATTTGAACATTTACTCATGCTTATAAAAAGATAGTCATCAAATTAATTATTATTTTATTCTTGTGGATTAAATTATTATTGTTCATTTTTGTATTTTACATTTTGTTTATGTTATCAATCCTATTGGATGAGGATTGTATTCGTGATAAACCTCCTTTCATGTATATAGATAAATGTTGAGGAGTGCCTAATAATATGCATGTAATTAGAAGTTTAGATTCAAACCCTAATTTAATTTAATTTTGGCATTGAATTGAATCAAAGATAAATAGCATTAATTCAGTAACTATCTCTTCCCACCTAAGTATATATAATCAATAAACTAACAATAAAATTTACTTTTGAGCTGTGTGATTCTCCTACACTTCTATGCTTCAAACTTCAATTCAAGGGTAAAGGCAGTTCCCATAACCTGCAGCAGCGAAAATCGAACCACAAAATCAAAATCAAGAACAAAAGGACAAACACAACAGCAAAATCTGTTTAAATCATGAACTAACTTGGATCAGTGATGACGATGAGACCAGATCCTCTGAAATCACAGTTCCACTGATTCTTCCCTTTCGAATTGTAATACAGATTCATAGCGATGGAGGCATGGTTAATCAGATTATCAGGATAAAAGCAGGGGCATCCTTTCTGCATAATCCTGCAATCCACTTGTGAACAAGCATAATTGATATTCGCTAACAGCGTCGCGTGATCCGACGAAGGCCTCGCAACGCACCACGTCTTCTGCAAACAAAAACAAAAAACAAAAATCATTCAGATTTCATCGGATTATTCTAATCTGTTGCTCTGCATTTCTATAACAATCGATTCACCTGATATCCATTTACCGCCAAGAGATCTCCTGAAAAAAGAATTGGAAGAAGAAAGAAGAAAGAAGGAAAGTTAGGTACGCAAAAAACGACGCGGAATTCGAAGAGATCAGGAGAACGAACCTGAGAGGAACAGAAGCAGAAAGGAGAGAGCGACTGCGGCTGCTTTCGCCATTGGAGGAAGAGGCAGAGATCTGGAGAAAAGCGATGAGGAAAAAGGCGATTTGGAGTGTGAGATGATTGGAAAAAGTGGAGAACGGAAGTGGATTTTATAGGCGGAAGGTGGATTTGTGGGGATTGCAACGGCTACAAAATGGCGTAATGTTGAGCCGTTACGGTGGGTGGAAGAGTCGGAGTGTTGTTGGGGGCAAAAATGGAAAGAGGAAACATTGCAGGAAGCTCTAAGGACGCGCACATGATGCCTATTATTTTTTGTATTTTTATTTTATTTTATTTTATTCCGTTACGTAAACTATAAGCTAAAATCTATTTAATAAATACAAGTACTTCTAATTTTAAATATTATTTTAATTTTTATTGAGTTCGATAATTCAAGGAACTTAAAATTCTTTTACAACGAACTCTCTATTTTGTAGTTGTATTAGACTGCCAGATTGTTAGCAACGAACCGCCTTTGCATCTAGCGACCATGGTGACGGTGGGGTTGCAAAGGAGTGAGACATAACTTTTAGTCGATAGACCTAAGTTCTGAATCGAGTCGATTAGGTTTCAGAAAACTAACTCTACCTTTATGATCCGAGTTTGATTTTTCGGGTTTTTAAGGTTCTATGTATATCTCAATTTTGTGAGATAGTAAATTTTTAAATTAAAAAAAATATGTTTAATAGTTTTTTTTTTTAAAAAAAGAAAAAGAAAATTTATTGGTTTATTAAAATATAAATTTGGCTATGTTCCTTAAGTCTTACAAAAGTTACTTAGGTTGATACTAGTTGTATAACACGTGCATGCACGTGCTTCTAAAAGAATAAATTTATTGTTATTATTATTATTACATAAATATTAATTTTGAGATAACTTAAAGTCGTAAAATAACAAAGTTAAAAAATAATATATCAAATATACTATTTTAATATATTAAATTCTTAAACATCACTACACCTTAAGCCTAAAATAAACCTTTTTTTTAATCTTAAAATCATAAAATTACATTTGGATCTATTATTAGTTAAGTATAATTATTTATATTTTAGTTATTAGTTATTAATAATGATAAAAAAAAATTTATATAAAATAAGGGAGTAATGAAAATTTTGTAAATTAAGATTTTTATTATACAAGACAATTTTTTAGAGACCAAATAATTACATTGGAAGGATGTCCATTTAACCCGTAAGGTCAAAGCCCCGACTCAAATTAGGCGAAGAATGAGGAAGAGAGTGAGGGTAGGTATGGTAAATATTTTTTTAAGCGTTGAAAACTATGTAATTTGTTCAACCCATCTCGATCCCCGTAAAAATAAATGAAAATTTTCACGAACATGGAGTTAAAAGACATTTTCATCCTCAATCCATGGCAAAACTAAGAAGTTAAAAGCAAGCTCAAACTCACCGCTAATAGATATTGTCCACTTTGGCCCGTTATGTATTGTAGTCAGTCTCAATGTTTTAAAACGTATCTACTAGGAAGAGGTATTCACACTCTTATAAGGAATGCATCGTTCCTTCTCCCATTGATATGAGATCCCATAATCCACTCCCTTTGGGCCCAACGTCTTCACTGACACACTGCTCAATGTCTGACTCTGATATCATTTGTAACAGTCCAAGAGTGTCTGACTCTGATATCATTTGTAACAGTCCAAGTTCACCGCTAGTAGATATTTATTATCTACTTTAGCCCGTTACGTATCGCCGTCAGTCTCATCATTTTAAAACGCGTCTATTAGAGAGAGGTTTTCACACCCTTATAAGAATACTTCGTTCCCCTCTCAAAACGACGTGGGATCTCATACAATATCCTTACTTTTCGTAGACTCATGGTTGATTTTGAGTCACTATTGGCAGAATCATTTTAACTTACATACTTTGGGATTAAAACAACCAAAAACTCACAAGAACTCGTTTGCTAAGTTTTGTTAAAGAACTACAACAAAAACAGCTGAGGCATCAAATATCCCGACATAAGACGGTAATCTGATGTACGAGCATTACCTCGAGGTGTTTCACTGATGACTCGTAGTTTATGACGAGCAATGTTCTGAATAAAAGAAGAGTATATGAATGGTTCACCTTTTAAATCTTAGTTCTCGAGTGGCTCCGACATGCCTGTAAATATTCGTTCCAAAACGACTCCGGTATGTGCAATATGTACGCAACTTAACTGGGAGATGTCTGTAGTGAAGCAAACCAAACAAATGCTGTGGATGGATACTGCCATCTTCTGCGATTCAACGACTTCGAATTGTCCTGTATGTTATAGATTTATAAAACATAAACAAAGCACTCAGTCCCGACAAACACAGGAAGAAAACGAGTGAAATGAGAGTCGATTGACGGTTTCGGAACTTACCTTCCCAATCGAGAGAGCTCGGGTTCTGCAAGAAGCATGTCCTGAAGGCTTCTCATATTCTTCTTTCCTTCAGCAGAACTACAAGGACAATACCTTTCGAGTTAAGCACGTACAAGGCCAATTCCGCTTCTAATTACAGCATATTATCACTAAACGTCCAACGACACGCAGGTGTTATCGATAACTAGCTGAGAACAGTCGAAATACATTCGAACAAGGTACCGTTTTGATATACATTACATTCATGTGATATATATATCTTAGTACCTGAAAAAGTGATCAAGTGTAAGAAGTCTATGATGAAGAGAATAGTCATTGCCAACATAGGTGACTACCAAGCTACCAGCATCAGGATGAGGCCAGCTTCTCGAAGTGGGAAACCGAAGAATAAACGTCCCAGGCTCTTGAAGACCCGTCGGACTTTGAAGCGATAATTCGGCTTCTTCTTTCGTAATGAATCCTTCGATCCATTTGGGCGATAAAGAACTCCACATTGCATTGATCCATTGTTTGGATAAAGTAAAAGCTACAGGATATAACCAACACCACATTCTCTCGAAGTTCTCTCGAGCCAGATACTCGTGACAACCAGAAATTCTCCGCAGCAACTCGACGTCCTGATATTTATCGTCGTTAAACGAAGAAAGTTTATTCAATTCAGAGGTGATTTCAAGGGAAAATTCTTTCAAGAGACGGGGCGAGTACCTGCTGAGTGAGAGATCTAGAGCTACAGCCAGAAATTCTCATGAACTGTTCTTCAATCTCAAAAGCAACACTCTCCCACTGAACATGATGCTTGTTTTGAGATATTGAATTCCAGGCCCGAATTCCCTCTTCTATTAATTTTCTTGACATTAGGATTTGATGCCTGAGAGGAAATAGAATGTCAAATATTTCCTCACTGGAAGAGAATTAGAATGGTATGTAAGGCAACAGACTCGGATAAATGTACGACATGGCAAGGGAGTCGAGGGACATCAAAGTTAGTATGCATAACTATATCGTTACAAGGTCTGTTGCAATTCAAAACTGTACTTGTAACAGCCCAAGCCCAAGCCCATCACTAGTAAATATTGTCCGTTTTGGCCCGTTACATACCATCGTTGGCCTCACGATTTTAAAACGCGTCTATTAGGGAGAGGTTTCCACACCCTTATAAGAAATGCTTTGTTTCCTTCTCCAACCAATGTTCACAATCCATCCCCTTTAGAGGCTCAGCATCCTCGCTGGCACACCGCCCAGTGTCTAGCACTGATACCATTTGTAACAGTGGGCTTGAGAAGTTACAAATGGTATCAAAGCCAGACACAAGGTGGTGTGCTAGCGAGGATGTTGGGCCCCTAAGAGGGCTAGATTGTGAAGTCCCACATCGGTTGGAGAGGGGAACGAAACATCCCTTATAAGGGTGTGGAAACCTCTCCCTAACAACAGACATGTTTTAAAATCATCAGACTAACGACGATACGTAACGGGTCAAAACAGACAATATTTGTTAGCAGTAGGCTTGTGCTGTTACAGTACTGATCCAACACAGGGAAACACATAACTTTTCATACCGAACATATTTTGGCAAACCTTGCAGGTATATGTTGCAGACATCCCAAAGAAAGTACGATAACCAGGATTCGACGATTGAAGATTACCTGTGGTGTAAACATCCAGAATATAGGGAAACATGGTCGGCAAATTCCGAAACTTCTTCCTGCGACACGGATGTTGCAATCTCCTTGAGCAGATGTGACCTCTCAGGTAAACCTGCTAGGCAATATTTGAAAATGTTCACATCCGATATCGGGTTTCCACTGGTTGTAGTTCTATTCGGAGCCAAATGTCTGGCTTGAGTGCTTGCAGAGTCTGATGGGGATGCTCTTCTTGATCCATTATTTTTGGGTCTCTCTCTTAAATTTGTGCCAAATCCATTTTCAGCCTACGCCAACAACACTTGTTAACAATTTGACTAACAGAAGAGTATCAAAAGCATAAGAATTCTATTCACAATGATCAATCACTCATATTAGTTTAGTTCAAATTGAAGAAGTAAATGGCAAATACCTCATTGGCAGTAAAAGAATGAGAGTTGCATTCCTCATCGGGTTGCCGTAAAGCACGATCGTCGTTAGAGTTCGGTAAAACTCTATCTTGTCCCACTTTAATCCTCTTCAATAGTGGACTTGGTTTTTCTTCATCTATTGAAACATGCTCGTGTTCTGAGGTTCCGTTGTCCAAACCAGATGGCCGAGATCCATCGAGTCCGTGGACAGCAGATCTTTTCCACATCAAAGTTGACGTACGAGTAGTTCGACTCCTTGAGATGCAGCGAATTGGAGAAGAGAGAGCCTCGAAGAAGGGATACCCCTCAAATTTAGGTATGCAAAATCTTATGCGGAAGAGCTTGTTATCACATTTAGAAGATAGCTGAAACCATAAAGGAGAAAGTCATAGAATGGCTACAACAGAAGCATAAATGAACAAGGCAGGTGTAATGTAAATGGAAACAAGAGGGACGCATGTATAAATCAATCTAAAATGCAGACGTACATGATGCCTACCTAGCAAAAATTTCAAATTATTTATAAGGGTGTGAAAACCTCTCCCTATCATATACGTTTTAAAAACCTTGAGGGGAAACCCGAAAGGGAAAGCCCAAAGAAGACAATATCTGCGAGCAGTAGACTTGGGCTGTTACAAATGGTATCAGAGACAAACACCGGGCGATGTGTCAGCGAGGAGGCTGAGCCTCGAAGGGGGGGTGCACACGAGACGGTGTGCTAGCAAGGACGCTGGACCCCGAAGGGGGGCGGATTGTGAGATCCCACATCAGTTGGGGAGCAGAATGAAACATTTTTTATAAGGGTGTAACAACCTCTCCCTAGTCGAGCGTTTTAAAAACCTTGAGGGGAAGCCCGAAAGGGAAAGTCCAAAGAGGACAATATCTACTAGCGGTGGGCTTAGACTGATACAAATGGTATCAGAGCCAGACACCGGGTGATGTGTCCACGAGGAGGCTGAGTCTTGAAGGAGGTGGACAGGAAACGGTGTGCCAGCAAGGACGCTGAGCCTCGAAGGGGGGTGGATTGGAGAGTCCCACATCGATTGAAAAAGGGAACGAGTGTTAGCGAGGACGCTGGGCCCTGCAAGGGGTGGGATTGTGAGATCCCACATCGATTGGAGAGGAGAACGCAAAATTCTTTATATGAAAACTTCTCCCTAGCAAACACGTTTTGAAAACCTTGAGAGGAAGCCCGAAAGGGAAAACCCGAAGATTGCTACGAATGAAAATTAGACATTCAAGAAGTTCAAAAGTCATTTCTACCTGAGATATTTTTAGCTTAAAGGATGCACGCCCATTCAACAGTTTACTTGGTCTATCACTGGAAGCAAATTCAACACCATCATAGCTTGCCAAAAGGGGAGCTTCTTCATCACTTGACTTCTCCACAGCTTCCCCACTTTCAGCATAGATGAGGGAGGCAACAACCTGTCGAACAATGAGTAACGACTTCCAAAGTGAGCGTCAAGAGGTTAACCAAACCGAACTGACCACTAGATAGACGATATTAAAATGAAAACTCTTGGCACGAACCTCGAGTTCCTTAAGAACAGGCTGGCCAGAGGAATCTAACAGCATAACTTCCAATGAGAAATTTCGACGACAAGATGGCTGTGGTTTGCAAGGAAGAAACAAATAATGTTCATAAAAACAGGTCGAAAAATGTCAATATGACAGCCAGAAGGAGGGTAACAGAAAGCTTCCTAACCTTGCCACCAACTATATTCCATATGCCATCACTGCCCTCTTCAATCTCCGTGGTCGAAGAGTTGTCGATAAATAATTTAACGGGTAGGTCCTGGAATTATAGCAGCATATATCAGTAGGGAAATACTTTCTTAGTTTTGCCAAGAAATTCAGTTAGTTCATTATAAATTCAACATCAGGAAAGACGGTCGAATAGCACCTCGACATAAGAATCCTTGATCGATGATACCGAATGCAAAACTTTTGCATTATGAACATAGCCTTGCAGGCTGTTGTCTTCACCATTGTTGACCAAAACAATCCTACCCGAACCCCTTGGAATGGCATCTTCACCGAGTGAAGATGACATAGGCTTTTCTCCAACCATTTTCCCATTAATATGCAGTCGGACAAAATCGGTGGAGACCTGAAAATGAAAACTCAGAAGACTAGTAACTCGAACGTAGCTACCACGTTCACTAATGGGGAGAAATGCAACCAACCATAACCACGACCAGTGTAGTTAAGTAGTAGTTATGAATCTTTAATTTCAATATGCATACTCATAGCTCGTGTCAAATTAACGTCAAACGACAAGTTCCACACTTTAACCTCTCTTTACAGCACTCCATTACTTATCTTTTCCGATCTTTAATTTGAAATTCAGATAACAAAGTTCGAGGAAAAAAAAACGTTAGGGTGCGAAACTGGTCAAGTCATTGAGCTGAGAATACAACAATGTACCTCACATCCAATATGAACCCATTTTTCCATGGGAAAATCGATGTCTAGACATTCATGTGGAACTTCATTCCCGGAAGAAGAACTACCAGCGCTGGAACGTTCATCGGGTTTGTGTAAGGCGGGCAAAGGCATAATCTTAATTCTATTCCTTTCACTTAGAACCAGAAAAGAACTCATGCCTGATGAATCTAACTGTACCTGAAGCAACTCATCCAAAACAAAGTAAGAACGATAAAATGGTACTCAACAGGCTAGAAATTCAAGCTAAGAATGTAAGTTCATCTTAAAATATGCTCAATCAAATGCATCATTGATTGAAAATATCAATAGATAATCAGATTTTACAATGAAATCACTAGTGACCACTGCATTTGAATCAGGAAAATAGTTCAATTAAAGCAGAAAAGTCTGTGGCTCCCTTAGTATTACAAGATCACAGTACACTAATGGTGTTGTTTCAAAAGATGCCAAACAGTCCAAAAACATTCGAAGATGTTCTAAAGGTGTTCTAAAGGTCATTTACATATGGGTATCAAAGATTTGATCAGATGAACTACAAGCACAGAGCAGCCAAGCCACCAACAAGGGGTGTTCCAAAACACCCACAAAATCAAAGACAAAGAAGAACAGATGATAATGGATACAAGATCAAGGAAGAACATTAAAAAAATCAGAAACAAAAACAAGATAATAGAAGTTAAACCTGAAGGATTGAAACGGGGAATGTGGAAGAATTCATAAGATAAACCCAAAAACAGATATTAAAACACCCATCATCTCCATCGATTTCGAGCCTCAGATTCTTGAGCAGCGAGTATTCCTCGCTTTCATTCACTTCGCAGTCCATGATTCTTACCCTTTGAACACACGAACTCAAAAGGGCTCCGTTCTTTCACCAAAAATAACCCATCAAACCCAAAAATCCACTCCCACTCTTCGACCCTTTTCTTCTCTGGAATCAACAATTTCACTCGCACAAAGAACGGTTTCTTCCTTTCCCAGGTTCGAAAAGGGGGAACGCAGCTTCCTTCTGACGGCTGTTAACGGTTGGTGTAGTGTTCCGATGGCGCTAGTAAATAAGTTTTGATCTGGTGCTTGAATTCCCACTGTATGGAGCTTCAATTGAACGGTTGTGATTTGAAGTTAGTGATTGAGAATTTGATCTTATGGCGTGGAAGAAAACGATTTGAACAAAATCTTAAATTTGGGAACTTCCCGAACCCCGAAAGGTAAAAATCGAATCTTTTTAACCTTTTAAAGATCGGGAGTATTTTATCTTCTAGCTATGCTCGTATTGACAACTTTTAAATGAAATATGTTTAGTATTAACAAGTATGAAGCATACTCAACTTTTAAGTAAAACGATACTGAAATTGAACTAATACATCAGTGTTTCGATAAACTTACAGGCACTCAACGAATCTTGCAAGACAACTATTCGACTTTACGACATTTGATTGTCAATAAGATTTTAATGTTTTGATTATGTAGGTTATCATCGTGTTTTTGTCTATTTGTCAGATGATACAAGAACGCTCGATTGTGATCTACTTTTTGATATGAATTAAATTCAATAAATGGTTAATGAAATTGATATGAAGTGTGACGTATAATGAACTTTAACTACTAATAAATGAATATCATATTCTCGAGTAGGTGTATGAACCATTATCAATCTACTCGAAAACGGATAAATAAAAGGTTTTTCTTATACAATTTTAATTTTTGGTAATTTATATATATATATATATATAGAAAGTTTTCTTAATTCTTTGTTTTTTTTTTTTTAAATAACCTATTTGGTATTTAGATATTTTGTTTAATTTCTTGTTTTTTTGTTTTATTTTCTAAAATAAAAAAAAAACAAAACTATTTTTGGTAACTGGTTCTTCTGTTTGTTATTTCTCTTATAAAGAGAAAAAACAGATTTTGTTTGATACTCATTTTTTATTTTTATTTTTTGATATTTTAAATTAAAAATATGGAAAATTATATAAAACTAAAATTTTAAAATAAAAATCTAATTTTTTATATTATTTTTTATTTTAGATATTTATTATACATTTTTAAAAAAATAAGTTTTGTTATTTCTAAATTTCCATGTAATTTTGACAATGGTTAAAAATAAATTTTGATTTTTCATAGCGTGATTTAATTGATTAAAATATTATATTTGAATTAAAAATTTTAATTTTATTCTCAATTTATAGTATTTTCTTTTATCTCGGCTTCTCAAGAACAAAGAAATACTAGATTTTGATTTTTAATTGATATATATATATATATAATGGTTGGACGAAGAAAGCTTCACATCGGCTAATTTAGTAATGATCATGGGTTTATAATTAAAGAATACTCCCTCCATTGGTATGAGGCCATCTGGGGAAGCTCAAAGCAAACTCACGAGAGTTTATGTTCAAAGTAGACAATATCATACTATTGTGTGGAGAGTCGTGTTCGTTTAACTTGGTACCAGAGCCAGTTGTGTTCGTCTAACTTGATATCTGAACCTTGCCCTAAAATTAGTCATGTCAATAGATTGGTAAATCCTAAAATGTCGAACAAAGGACTGCAAAAGAAAAATGAGTAAAAAATGACAAGATTTGGAAGAGTCGAGCCTCGACTAAGGAGAGGTGTAGTTTGTTTGAGGGGAGGTGTTAGGATGATGAAAGTCTCACATCAGCTAATTTAAGAAATGATTATAAATATTAGTAGACAAAGTGGGTTGGGTTAATGTGTGTGTGTGTATATATATATTTTGGGAGATGAATTTGAAAGAAAGCCGCCAAAACCATCGGCTACCGTCGTTCGTTTCGTTTGGATCCTGCAATGGCTCTGTGCCTTTCCCGATCTCTCTCAATTCTTCACATTCCGCCATTGTTACATGAATTTCTCTTGGTTCTCAGTTGATGAACAATAAATCGAGGCACATTTCTGGGCAAAGAAAGCCAACAGCATCCAAATGAAAACCCACAAATTGATTTCACCCTTTCGTCTGTGTTCCCTTCTTCGTCTCCAAAAGGATCCTAAACTCGCTTTTCAACTCTTCCTGAACCCTAATCCCAGTTCTACAAAACCCCCCAAACCTTTTCGTTACTCTTTACTTTCCTATGATCTCATCATCACCAAGCTCGGGCGTGCTAAGATGTTCGATGAAATGGAAGAAATCCTCCATCAGCTGAAGCAAGAGACTCGGTTTGCTCCTCACGAGATTATCTTCTGTAATGTCATTTCGTTCTATGGTCGAGCCCGCCTCCTTGACCGTGCCTTTCAAGTGTTTGATAAAATTCCATCCTTCGGTTGCAAGCGGACGGTGAAATCAGCGAATTCGTTGTTGGATGCGTTGTTGAAGTGCAGGGAGTTTGAGAAAATGGCGGAAGTTTTTGTGGGCATTGGTAACTATGGCTCCCCTGATGCTTGTACTTTTAACATTTTGATCCATGCTGCTTGTTTGTGTGGGGATTTGGATGATGCATGGGAGGTGTTCGATGAAATGCCAAAGAGAGGTGTGAAGCCGAATGTGGTCACTTTTGGAACTTTGATTTATGGACTTTCTCTGAATTCTAAGTTGGATGAAGCATTAAGGTTGAAAGAGGATATGGTGAGAGTCTACAGGATTTTGCCGAATGCGTCAATATATGCTACATTGATCAAAGGGTTCTGTGGGAGTGGAGATTTGAATTTGGCTTTCAAGCTAAAAGAGGAGATGGTGACTAACAAGGTAAAACTGGACTCGGCAATTTATTCTACTTTCATCAGTGCACTCTTCAAACATGGTAGGAAAGAAGAAGTTCCTGGGATTTTAGCAGAAATGGGAGAGAACGGGTGCAAACCAGACACGGTCACCTACAATGCCATGATCAATGGGCAATGTAAAGAGAACGATCTTGAATCTGCATATAGAGTTTTGGATGAGATGGTGAAGAAAGGGTGTAAGCCAGATGTGATCAGTTTCAATACAATCATGGGGAGGTTATGCAAGGAGGGGAAATGGGATAAGGCTATGGACTTGCTTGCAGATATGCCGAGACGAGGTTGCTCTCCTGATGTGGTATCATACAGGACTCTTTTTGATGGGCTATGTGAAATGATGCAGTTACAGGAAGCAACTTCGATACTGGACGAGATGATCTTCAAGGGCTACGTGCCTCGTTCCGAGAGCATAAACAAACTCGTAGACAGGTTGTGCCAGGAATCCAACATGGAGCTGTTGTGGATGGTTGTAAACAGTCTAGCAAGAGGAAATGTCATGAATGTGGATATATGGGCAAGAGTTGTGGCTTTTGTTTGCAAGGAGAAGGCATCAGAAGCCTCAAAGTTATGTGATTTATTGATTAGTTAACAAGATAGCTATGTCAAGGGGTGATGTTAAACTGAACTAAGACAACATCGATTTACAACGCACTCATGTAGTTGGAACTCGGAGATCGAGAGCAATGACACTCAACAAGAACTAGGAGATTGAGTCTTGCCTGGTTGTAGTATAGCAACCAAGATCTACATTGATAACAAGTCAGCAATAGCTTTAGTCAAGAACTAGGTTCATCATGAGAGATCGAAGCATATTGACACTCGATTTCACTTTCTCTTATGAAGGCAAAAGAAATGGAATTGCATCATTAAAGTCCGATGCCTTTCAACATCTGAGGAAGAAGGTTAGCATCCGAAAATTCATTTATTTTATTAGTTTTACTCCAACTACTCAATAATTCCTTGTCCTCTAATTACACTACTGATGTAAGGATAGGTATCCCATGAGCAAAGTAATTACAAGACTAGTTTGTTACTACAAAGATCAAAACATAAACTGAAATCATCGATCCTAAATTTAGTGGCTAAAGCTGATTTTTGCTGATTTCCCAGTAGCTATTACTTACTTTCATCTCTGGCCACAATCTTGAACTTCCCTGTTAATTGTTGCTGCACCCAGAAGACATGAACAACATTCAAACCCACAAACCAAATTGCAAACTAAATGACCCAAATTTAGATTTAGCTCAGGGGAGACAGAAAGAACAATAGTTTACCTTCTTCCACAAATCAGTGTGGCTTTTGCAGAACCCAGCTACAATAGCACCAGATCTCCTTCCTTCTTGGTACTCAATGCAAAGATCCTCCTTCAACCCACAAGTAACATGAAAACCTAAACTGCATTTAGCCTCCGAACAATCAATGGCACAACCTTCAGAGGTTTTGCAGATATAGCATTTAGATTTCCATCTCCTTTTGAGAATCTTTGAGCAATCAATCCCTTCTCTGCCATCTGGGTCTTCGAAGAACACTTCAGGAACAAAGAGGCCACAAACAATATGAGCCCATCGGCCATCGTTTGTTGGCTTCATTGCCCCTCCTTTGAGAGGACAAAGACAGCATGAAAATGGTGTTTCAGAAGCTTTCTTCTCCATCTCGGAAGACGAAGAAGCTAAGCATTGGGTACAGAACCAATCACCTTCTGGTACATTCTTCACCAGAGGATTGCCGTAGCACGAAGCATGTACCATCAAATCACATCCATCGCAGAACACGATTGGATCGGATGGGTCTCCATCCGTGCTTTGACAAATCGCACAGAGGATTCCGTCCTCTTCATCCTCATCTTCTTCTTCTTCTTCTTCTTCTTGGATAGCTTCAATCTCTTGATGCTCAATCTCAACATCAGAACTTTCCTTTTCCTTTTCGTTTTTCTCTTTTTCCTCTATCTCTGATTCTACTTCTGAAATCGATATTTCTTCCGGAGGAGGCTTGTATTCAACATTGAGATCCAGAGATTCAGGGGCGAAATCAGGATGAAACGCCCAGACTCTTTTCTTCGTCGGCAAGCAGTAAGTAGAAGCGGAAATGGCGATTGGGTTGGGTAATGTAGCATCGGGGATAAAGATTGATGAATCACGAGACTCCTTTCGCTTCTTCGCAGGGAGGGAACAAGAATGGAGAGATTGATCCTGTTCTTGCTGCTTTCGTTCTAGTTCTTGAAGGATTCTGAGCCTTTTGAGAGGAGGTAAGGCATGGAGGGAATCCATTTTGGGTCTGCAAGTTCGACTGATAGCTTCGAGAATGGAATG